AAGTTGTCTTATCATGTGCCGCGTCTCTAACCGCCGAGCTCGCGACCTCGCGCTATCTCGATCTTCGACCTAAGAACCGGCATCTTTTGCTCACCCAGGACCTATGACGAATAAAGGTCTTGACACTATGGCTTGGGGGGATATCGCTGGTGAAGACCCAGCGTCGCACCTGACGGTGCTGGAAAATGCCTTGCAACACTCTGTTATCTCAGAAGAACGAACCCTGTCCACCTTTGAGCGAGTGATAACAACAAATGCACCCATATTCGAGTCTCTGTTACTCCAGATCCCGACAGATACCATCATAAAGCTGTATCACACTTCAAATTACCTCCGTACGTTCCTTCGATCATATCCGACCGCATGGAAGTCACTCTCGTTTCGCCTACAATTTCCTTCAAGCACTCTGCCGAGTCCTCAAATCAATGACCAAAGCGGCCCTGACACAGCCCCCGCACGTCAATCCCGACCTTATGCCCTAGACATGTTCTTGATGAATGTGGTGATACCATTCAGTAGGTGTTTGAAAAGCCTAGAACTGGATAACACGGCCATTTCGGGAGAGAACCTAACCTCAACCGTGCTGCATTCACGTCGGGAGACGCTGGTACATCTCTCCGTTCGAGGCTGCAAGAATGTCTCTTTGAAATATCACATCGTTCCTTTCTTGACAATGTTCGCGCTGCAATGTGACATTGACATGGGGGATAACACCGGCAGCTCTCCTGGGATGCAACGACTCGCTCTCAAGAGTATCTACGCCTACCGATGTCGCCATCATCGAAGACGCCCTTATCTATCATCTTCACTGATGCGGAAAGATGCTGACGCGGAATCAACCCATGAACTTGTCAATATCTGCCACAAGCTAGGCATCTGGACTGATACCGCTTGGTGCACCACACCTGCCGGTAGATGCGCTCGCAGAGCCGGTTACGTCAAATCGAGGTTCCCGCATGGAGCAGGGTCGCCGGAAGTTTGGGTAGTCTTTGATCGACTCTGGAGATCTAAAAATTGGATCGGCCCGACCGACTCTGAGACCCCTCAGCCGCACGTATACGATGGAAAGCTGTGGGAGAATCGTGACACTGGATTCTATGGCGAGGCATTAGGAACTGGCGAGGGTATTGATTGGGGTGAAGGAAAAATGACACCTGCCCATCTGCGCCGGAGCCATACCCAATTTGTCGATAAGATCCGCTGTGACAACTGCCTCGAGGATATCTCAGAACGGTGTGAACATTGCAGCGTCCTAATGCACTGTGTCGGATGCCGTAAAACACTCTGTGCGAGCTGTGCTCACGAACGACCGTATCTTCACAGGAGCACACCATCTTCGTCTGAAAAATCCCAGAATGCAGCGGACTCCTTCTGGTGGGCACCTGGGGCTACACACTCTCCGGGCTCAATGCAGGATCCCGTGGATATTCTAACGGATCCCAATCAAGCCCAGGGTACAGGGATGGACCCACCACCTATCCTTAATTTCCATTGGTGCTGCACCAAGCCTGACCTCTCCGGGGGAGGGGGGATTAGCATCGGACCTCGCAATGGTGAGGTGGACCAAGTACGAGCCGTACCTTTGCCTCGTGGGCAAGGGTGGGAGGACCTAGAGTACACCGTTAGTGAATGGAGCAAGACATTCCCCAAGTATGCGTATGGAGATCCGAGCAAGCCGGACTACTCGCTTGAAACGGGCCACCTGGCGATGATGAAGTGGCTGCTAGGTCCCCCTAACCGGGAGGTTTCACCATGTCCGCGTAACTTGTGTCAAGGGTGCTACGATTCACCACAGTGGAAGGTGCACTGCAAGAGCTGCTCCAAGCCTCTCTGCATTGAGCATGACCTCCGCGGACTTCGTTTAAGGATCTGCGGCTATCGAGACCTCGAGACGGAAAAGCAAACCATTCAAAATCGATTCGCTGCGAATCTTTCGGGATCCCTCATGTCTAGTCAACTCCCCGAATACGACTTACTATTCAGAAGCCAGCAGCTTCTTGACTCAACAAACAAAAGCTTCATTGAGGATTCACGTCAAGATAGCATGGACGAGGAAAATACACCCGAATCGCAGGTTGGTGATCAGTCGGCTCCTGTTTCATTCTTCTCCAACCAACCATCTCGCTCATATTCGGCCCCTGCGTCTGACCATTCTTCCCCTCCCTCATCCTCATCCTCCACCTTCTTTGATTCGCCGACATTTGAATCCCCAAGATGGCAAGGCTGCCAATCCTTCTTCTGCCCTCCGGCTGATCCTATCACCGGAATCAGGGATGTCAGAGGCGGCATCAGGGATCCACGTCCCAGGTGCCCCAGCTATCTGCGAGAATGCAAAGGCTGCAAGGTGTATGTATGCGCAGACTGCATATATACCCACCCACCCTGCAAATGCTCGTATTGCGAGGAAAACTACTTGTGCCCCAATTGTATGACGGATCGACCTCGTGACAGCCTGTGCCGCCGCCGCCAGGAGGAAAAGGCGCAGCGTGACCGTAAATGGAAAAAGGAAATGCAGGTGCTCGAAGCCATCTTGGAGCTCAAAGTGGCTAATGAGCTCGCCGAGTTTGCAGGCGAGTTCTTTGACCTCGTCGAGCGTCGCAATAGTCTGCCTTCGGGGACTATGGTCCCCTTTAATGACGGGATCGCTGATCTTTTCGAAAGTGACATTGCAGCGGCGGAAACATCCGCCGAGCACTTCGAGCCTGATGACCTTGAGTGGTTCCTCCAGGACTCTCATTAGTCGGAGGCACCGCTCACCGTATCCGTTTCAGACTCTCGGACTTTCGTGATTATCAAGATCTTTTTTCTTTTTCCTTTTCTTTTCTTTTTCAAAATTGTTTTTTTGGCTCTCTTTTTTTCAGTTTCTTCAGCGATCTCATATCCTGGCGTCATAGGGGAATCTATCTACTCTTATGAAATATTTTCGAAGCAATCTACCTCGGGGGGATCAATATCATGTTCTCACTCGGCGTTGTACCAAGTGAAATGGATCGGCGCATTGTGTACACCCTTTTTGCTTCTGCCACCCCCTCTTCAAACCGGACTTAGGCTGCAGATGGTGACATGGGTCACATCATTTACCCGGCAGTTCATCGGGAAGGGCTTGCGTTGACGACATAACTGGCCAATGGATGCAGGCACCAGTGCCAGAATTTATGATTTGTTTGTTCTTTTTTACTTTCGTTTCTTTGCCGGAGTGGATGGGCTGATGGGTGACGGGTGATCGAGGGAATATGCACTGGTTAATTATGTGGGGGCATATCTTAAAGAAACAGGTAATATCTTACCACTTGCTCTTCTATTTAACTCTTCATCCTTGTAGCCTTACACCAATGATCGTATCACCCTTAGGCTAGTTCAAACATTGGACCCTTGGCTAGTTCAGGGTTGTATAAAGAATAGCGCCACACCCAGTCCGGATAAACCACAATAACCAGTAATAATGCACCATAGATGTTGGAACAACACTTCCACCATGCATATAGCAGGCTAGTTTAATCAAGCACATTAAAGTATCGTCATCCGTCAGCTGGTGGGGGAAGAACAAGCATAGCCCCCGATCAAATGAAAGACCCCCACGATCAGATACCCGAACCTAGCGCCCGAAGAACATCCCACTGCGGTTTCATCATCTGACGTGACCCTGACCCTGACCACAACATCAAAAGTACCAAAAAAAAACGCCTCAGAACGTGTCGGCCCGTAGATGGGTAGAGGGATGCGGTCAAGGACAACGGCCATGACACAGCGCTAGTGTATGCATACCACGTGGATATCTCAAGATGCAACGTCTACGGCTCTGCACGTCCCGGGACTCTTATCGGCGGTGAATACGCTATTTGGACCAATAGGGCATTGAAGTGCTTTCGGTAGTGTTGGGCTCTACTTGGTACATACTCGGTAGTATGAGAGGGTTTTAGGCGGCCCGTGTGGTTCAGCCAGCCCTCTAGAGCTGGAGATATCGGGCGCCTATATCTATATATATGTATTTTTTAATTCATTTTCTAGGAAGTGTTTCTGTTGCTTGTTTCTAGGTAGAAACACGTACGGAGTACGGTGTACTCCGTAGACTGGAAATACTTCTGATAGTGGAGTATATATCTATCCACATACGGGGTATACTCCGTTATAGATCGCAGTGCAAAGTATCAATTTGGGTGTGGGAACAATCCAGTCCTATCCGCTTCCCCGGTGCCCCTTTTTCTTGTTTTAATTATCGTAATTCTTATTATTTATGAGATGTATCGACCCATTTTCACCCCTTAAAGCATCCTAAGATATCCGATCGGCTGGCGCGGATGTTATTCCACAGTCCCCGATTGGATGCGGGACAACTTCGGTAGGCTGGAAGCCATCCTATTAGTCCTACAAGGCATATTTGGAATAATGGTGAGTATGGAGTACAGAATGTAGGACTTAAGTACCATACGCTAGGTCCCGTTATATTCTGACATCATATCAGTCCACAAGTCAATTTGATACTTTTCTCAAGGGGTAAAAAAAAAAAAAAAATGGAGCGCCAAATTGCATGAACCCGTCACAATTGATCTCACCAATAAGATACGTTAGATATTTGCTATTCTTCTCCAAGGCTAAGCGGTCCGATGTCCCGGTTTCGATTTAGGCTTCAAAAAGGAAGATCCAAGGAAGATGTCGGTGAACGCGTTCCTTGACCTTTAGACGCGTGACCGGTCTATTTCCGAAGCAAACATTATTGACAGGGGGTTTGTTGGGATTTATGGATTTATGGGTTTATGGGTGTGTAGATTTATAGATTTACATATTTATATATTTATGAATTTATTTATTTATTATTTTTTCAAAGTAGAACAGGGTTTCTAATTTCTAGAAATTAAATTATTTCTTTTTAGTTGTGTCGTTTATATAAAGCCTTTGCTGTCGCTCATCTATTTGACTTTAATCAACTCCCGACTTCAACTCTTTTTTGAGCCCCCAAGAACTATATCCATTCAAAACAGCTTTCTACCTTCATATCCACCATGGACAAAATCAAGTCACCCAAGGAGGAACCTCAAGAGAAGATAGAGTCCCAACCTACAACTGTTGAAGAGTACCAGAAGAAATGGGATCAGATGCTCCAAGACACAGCAAAGCAGATCGACAAGATCCCAGGTGAGTTCCTTTCTGACACATGCAGAAGAGAGAACTGACAGCTATCATAGAAAATGAACTAGCGAGAAGGTCAAATAATAATCACACCGAGCAGCGATGATCAACGCCACTTTATTATTGAAACCGTCTATGCAAGCTGTGAGGTTTATTGAAAACCGGGCTTCTGGTGTTTTGCTTTTTTTGCTTTCTTTTTTCTCTCTTACGGATGACGAGAGCATTGGGGATAGGATCAGAGGGTGTTTTTTTTTTTTGGGAGTACACATTATACCTGGACTTCAGTCATTCGCTTTTTGTTTACAAGGCAACCTGCATGAGAATACTATAATTTCCTTATATCCGTCTAAGAGACGCTCTATGGGATGTAAGAAGAAAGAAAAAAAAAAGGAAAGAGAGAGCCTCAAGTGGGGGAGCAGTTACCTTCTGGGGTTTATTGGTTTACTCGATTGTGCATTGCCTGGTGCATTGCCTGGTGCATTACCTACTGCATATTATCAACTGCACTGCCAATCACTCAGAACATCCCATTTTCAGCCCATGCACGTCATGGATGCCGCTAATGACCCAGTCGTCCAACCATCCCTGTAGGTTATCCCGAAACGGTAGGAGACCTGCCCTAACAATCTTAGACCACTCGACGTCGTCGCTCACAATGCCACCGTGATCCTAAGCGGTGTGCTACTGGGAGCACTGCTTGCGTTCGTCACTTCTCACCTGGGCTGGCTGCGCCACCATGTCCGTCTAAACGATCGGTTGGTCAACGCCATCTTCCCACTAGGGCCGCAAGTCTTTTTCTTTACATTACCGTTGTGGTTTATTGTGGCATTACGTCCCGCTGTGCGCTTTTCCGGTATGTATCTTGAGCAGTGTGAAGGTGACTGCAAGTGGTCTGACTTTATTAGTGCTGATAATGGAATACGCTACTGTGATTTGTCAATCATTGATGGCTTATATATTCCCAGTTCCGGAGTACAATGACATTCTCGAGAGCAGTATCAAAATCCCGGCTCAAATGACCAAGACATGGACTAGTTGAGATATTAAATCCTGCAAGGTTGAAAACTGTGCTTGGAATTATCACTGTATTCATGTTTCATATTATGCAGTCAAACGGATCCCAAAGAGGCATACTCCGTACGGAGTAACAAGTCCATTGTAGAGAGATGCCTCGGTGTACAACATAAAGTAGGCGATTAGGGCTGGCGCCAAAAGCGCCAAAGGAGAAAAAGCCAAGGTCTCCACATCTTTCCGTTTTGGGCTTTTGCTTGGGCTCCATCCTCAACTAATTATTACTCCGTATACCCACACCGTTACACCGTTTACCCAAATACTACCCCCCCTTACTCCGTACTCATATCTATTCTCTTTCTGATCTGCCGTCATGTCTGCCGATCTCGACCAAAATCCCTCCCCCGCCGACCTAGCCGAACGCGAACGCGAGAACAAAGAGCGCAAAGCCCGCGAGGATGCGGAACAGGCCCAGCTCCCCTACAAGTGGACACAGACTATTCGTGACGTGGATGTGACAGCACCAATCCCTGGTAATCTCAAGGGCCGTGACTTGGATGTGCTGTTGACCAAGAACAAAATCCGTGTCGCGATCAAGGGACAAGAACCCCTCATCGAGGTATGTCTACCGTTCCCCACCCCCGGAGAATTTCACACCGCATACTCTAAATCAACACATCAACTCAAAAGACAGCCAGCTAACTATCGCATTTTCCTATTCAGGGTGATCTCCCCCACGCCATCCTCGTGGACGAATCCTCTTGGACCCTCGAGACTACCCCCACCCCGCCCGGAAAGGAAATCAATATCCACCTCGATAAGGTGAACAAGGTCGAATGGTGGCCTCATGTCGTGACCACTGCTCCCAAAATCGATGTCACCAAGATTACGCCCGAGAACTCCAGCCTAGGCGATCTGGATGGTGAGACTCGTGCCATGGTCGAGAAGATGATGTATGATCAGCGGCAGAAGGAGATGGGTGGTCCCAGTAGTGATGAGCAGCGGAAGATGGATTTGCTGAAGAAGTTCCAGGCTGAGCATCCCGGTAAGTCATTGTCTTTTTTATCGCTTGCATCTCTTACCAGTCACTTCTTCAATCCCTAAAAACGACCTCGGGAATGCATTCTTTCGTTTTGATATGTTGCTAACATGCACTCTTACAGAGATGGATTTCTCTAATGCCAAGATGGGTTAAACCCACTATTAGTATTCAACGATACCTAACCCTTCGTTCTCTATGCAAAAGTTATTATCAAATGTATGAAGTATGAGTTATGCGCATGGGTGAATGATCTTCGATGAATGATGAATTGCATGGCGTTTCTCGAATCCTATCTCCCAGACTTGGTATAGGTCTCCGGGTTTATATATTCCTGGAAGTAGTTGTCTTTTATTCAATCTCTTGGTCAAGCCAACCTCTTATTGTTTCTCTGGTCATTCTGCCAACCCTGGGAATACGAGAATTACTAGATCGGGAATAGCGCCCGAGCGTTCTAGTCGATCTTCCCTTTCGCCTCCCCCATATTCTCCGTCACCCCTTGGCAGTTTCTCACTCTATTTGGACAAACTAAGCGATCAGGCTGATTAGAACAAGGCGTAGCTCGACAGACTTGAGCCTCCACTCATTGCCTTGCGCCCGATTTGGGATATAAGCCGCATAGCTATATCGCAACTCAATACCTCGAGGCCTTGAAACGCCCGACGCCAGCTTGTTCGTATAATATTCTGTGTACATCTGATTTAATAGAATATCGCCAAACATTCCCCTGGGTCGAATTAACAAACTTATACTCGAAAAACAATGGACGATATGCAGCCTAAACCTCAAACCCGGCCACGCTCATCAAGGCACGTGCAGGGACAAAATATGGTCTTTCGAATCCCAAACTACAAAGCAAAGAATTCCCTAGCGTGCGGATCCGAACAGTCGGAACAGGTCTATCATTCCCGCCGGTCTCATCGGAAATCCCGAGCCGGCTGTGTGAACTGTAAGCAACGAAGAGTCAAGGTACTTCCGACGCCCCCATTATCAACCACCGGCTGATAATGATCTATCAAGTGCGATGAAGCAAAACCCCATTGTCTCCGATGCCAAAAACATGGTATCGAGTGTGACTACTCGAGCCAGCTAGCCCGACCTCAAAATGCCAATAACATCATTTCCAAATTCATCAAAACCAACCCGGAGTTGACCTCAATTGATTCCCTGGCTTCTTCAATGTCTCTAATGATGGTCGCGGACAAGTTGAATGAATTACTGCAACCACCCTCTACTACCAGTACCCAGCTGCCGAGAGTAACTATGGAGGCATTGCATCATTTCCACAAAGCCCCAGCCTTTGCAACAGAAAGCCACACACCTATTCGAATCGTAATGGGCAAAATGGTCCAACTTGCCTTCGAAGTAAGCCTATCCATAGTTCAATTAAACCCCCATACCCTATATCCGCTATAGCCACAGCCCTATAACCCACCTAATACAATTTCAAACTAACCCTAACAACCCCAGACCCCCTTCCTCATGCACGCCATAATAGCAGCAGCAACAACCCACCTCTGCACCCTCCTCCCCGAAAACAAAGCCTACCGCCTCGCAGAAGCCTATCACTGGCAACAAACAATAAACCAATACTCAACCGAAGTGTCAACAAAAATCACCCGCTCAAACATGGACAAACTCTACTCCGCCTGTCTAATGATCAGCATGCACTCCTTCATACAAGAAAACTTCAACCCACGTCTCTCCTTCGTCTTCACAACAGACCCAACAGCGCTAACCTGGCTCCGACTCCAAACCGGCCTACGCTACCTCCTCGAACACACGACGCCCTGGCTCCCGCAGAGCATGTGGTGGACTGTCTTCATGGAAACCCGGGATCCATCCCTGGACTTTGAAGATAGGTGTCCTGGTCGTGTAGATCTTGATCCGGAGTTGGCAGATCTTTGTGGGATTTCAGATGACACGACTGTTGAGGAGAACCCGTATTTGTGGCCTTTGAGGATGCTTATGGGGTTGTTGCCGTTTGAGAGGGGGACGGGGAGTTTGGGGGTTTATAATACCTGGATGGGCAGGTTGGAGAACCCGTTTTATGAGTGTTTGCTAAGGAAGGAGCCGCCGGCGTTGGTTTTGTTGGCTTGGTGGTTGGGGCTTATGTGTTATGTTGAGGAGTGGTGGGTTGAGATGAGGGTTCGTTCGGAGTGTACGGCTATTTGTATGTTTTTGGAGGATAGTTGTGACCCGTTGGTTTTGAAGTTGTTGGAGTTTCCGGCGTCGTGTTGTGGGTATTTGCTTAGACATGAGCAGGAACGGGCTACGGTTCTTGATTTGAATTGATGTCGGTTTTGGGTGAATTTAGTTTAAATCTTGGATTTGTTGCATTGATACCACTTTTTATTAGTTAGTTGTCCACCAAGGCGTGTTTTTTCGAGGGCTCGTAGCGATAAAGCTAGATGTGGAATATTCAACTCGACAAAATGTCTATAATGCATTCGGTTTATCATAATCGTTACACTATTTATGCCTGTCAGGATGTGGGTGAGTATCAAGACAACTGATGATCTCGACAGTGTCTTCCCACATCCGTGACAGGCGAGTATGTGCAGGTCAATATTAAGTATCCAAAGCTACCTCCCCAGAAGGAATCCTCTTCTAGCACCAGGTCCCAGTCATGTCATAAGCATTCGATCAGTATCCATAAATGATGTCGTCGTGTCATGTGCAATAAATCAGTACGAAAGAAAAAGATAAGCAGAAAATGGAGCAATGCAGCAGTCATGCAGAAATGAAAGCAAATTCACCATGGACGATTCCAGATCGCCTAGATCAAAAGATCGATGTGGGAAAATATTAAACAGGCAGCTGATAAGCAAAAGGTTGCAAGCAAAGTTCGGTCCGCAATGATTAAATGAGGATTAAATGAGGCTATATCACCGGCTCTCCCAAGAGACCCGCCGATGACGACGAATGGACCGGTTATCCTCCTCGGAGTATGTAGGTCCAGTCCGCGAGCCGTTCATGCGGGCAGCAGGCGGCGGATTAATGATGACCGCCATAGCGGACGATATGGACATGGACCGCGAGCGAGTCAGCATTGCAGAGTGACGGGGAGAGTATGGCGGTGGTGGAGTATCCCTTGTCGCGGTGGAGGTATTGCCGTAGCTGCTCGGAAAGGAAACGGCTGATGAACTATCGGAGGTGAGATCTTCCTCGTAATGATTGGCATCCTTTTCGTCATTGGGGTAGGAGTTCTGAGACTCGGAGGAAATAGATGGGTCACGCATATGGGCTTCTAGAGTCTTCTCATGGAGGCTCATTGGACGGGCTGTGTACTGCGGGAGAGGGACCACGCTGGAATAGCCCCCATCCTGAGAGTCAGACGGTGGGGGTCCGTGCCCATGGCCCCCAGTTGGAGGTGCTGGGCGGATAAATTCCCCTTCCCCGGAGAGCGTAAAGTTTCCTGTCTGCAAACCACTGGGGTTGGGTCTTTGGGTCATCATCTCTGGGGATGAATGGGACTGAGAGGGTTTCTCGTCCCGGGTGAAGCACCCGCAGAGTCCCGAGAGAAAAGACATGACTCAACGAGGCGTGATGTCTGTTTCCTATTTGACGGTATTGAGCCCAATAGTGATTTGGCTATAGCGAGGGGAAGTTGGTCCGTGAGATCTTTAACAAGAAACACCGGACAACTATCGAATGAGCAGTTCGGCCGTTGAGCCTCAAACGCTGATAGTGGGCTGAACCCCACTTGCGTCGATAAACCCCAGACCTGAACCGGACAAACAGGGAGAATAAGAATCAAATATGAATCTAGAAAGAAATGCTCATATTGAGAAAGAAAAGAAGAAAATGAGGGGTGAAAGAAAGGCCAGAGGAGTGCTGACACAGATGAGGCACCCCAGGCATCCAGATTTACAAAACTTTAATTGGCTCCCGATAGGGCAGCGTAGCTGCCTGAGGCCCTGACATATAAATCCCTGTCTGTTTCAATGAAGGTAGCGCTGGTTCATAATGCAAGAAAAGGTTGAATTTTACAACAGCAGTCATAAAATAGAATATGGTAAGTTGAATAGTGCCGAACAATTCCGAACAATGCCGGGTTTCACCGGCGATCATCTGAGTGAGACGATATACAAACTTCCAATGCTTCCGAGGCACCATTGAGCGTCCATTGACTCTGAGACAATTTTGCCCTAGGAGAAGCTAACCAGAACAGACAAGGCTCGCTGTAGTCAATTAGAAGTTGGCAAAGACACATAGAATCAAGAAGATTATCTGCTTGAAGAGACTTGTTCATCTATGCATGACAAGAATAGTCGGCTGCTTATGCGATTCTGTCATGAGCTTTGGGTAGCCTTTTTGGGATGCCCTTTTTACATGTCTTTTTAGACGCCTATGAAGGCAGTAAAAGGCATAAACCGTGCAGAGGACTTTTCCATGTATAACTAGGGACATCCATATGTTTTTCTACAGTCCTCACAATTCGTTAAGCGCTTGGATTATTGTCTATAATTAGAATTCGAACAAAATACAGGATATATGAGAAGGGACTTCCTCTTGATCCTTCAATGAAACATCTTATGGTCGTCGTTGTCTACCTGCACAGGTAAATATACTGATAAGCGATAGGAGATAAGATCCGAAGTTAGATGAGGCGGTGTATAAATTAAGAGCCTATGATTGGTTCAAAGGTTAAGCGGGTCGAGGGGTAAGAAAATATGTGGGCAAAATCCAGTCATGTGATTAGGCACCCCGCCAATCGCATCGCCGCCTGTATTTTTTTTTGTTCTCCCCGCCTTGTCCTCGACGATCACTTGAGTGATAAGATTTTCTTTCCACACCCAATTCCAAATCTTGAGTCAATCAGAACTATAAATTTCATCCAAAATCATGACTATCGACCCTAGTATCCAGGAAGTGACACAGAATGTCGAGCCTCCTCAGGTCGCCCCCCATCGTTCCCACGATCCCACCAACAACCTGAAACGGACCGACCCCTTCCAATTCGGCTCGCGATTCCTTGAAAAAGGCGATGATGTTTTCGAGTTCAATGCTTGGGACCACGTCGAACCAGATGATGAGTTCAAGGCCTTTGCCGAGACCCAATATGCGAGACAGCGCGAAACACGCGTATCGGACTTTGATCGCAACCGATTCAACACCAATCCCGCCAAGTGGTGGGACATTTTCTATAAGAACAACACAGCCAACTTTTTCAAGGATCGAAAGTGGCTGCGCCAAGAATTCCCCATTCTTGCTGAAGTGACACAAAAGGACGCTGGTCCCCAGGTCGTTCTGGAGGTTGGCGCGGGAGCCGGAAACACCGCCTTCCCATTGCTGGCCAACAATGAAAACGAGCACCTGAAGATCCATGCCTGTGATTTCTCCAAGTATGCCGTCAAGGTCATGCGCGAGAGCGAGCTCTACAACGAGAAATACATGTCCGCGGATGTTTGGGACGCAGCTGGTGTGCCTGACGAGAACGGCGACTCTCTTCCTCCCGGTCTTACCGAAGGCTCAGTAGATGTTGTAATTCTAATCTTCATCTTCTCCGCCTTGGCTCCTAATCAGTGGGACCACGCAATCCGCAATATCTACCGTCTCTTGAAGCCCGGTGGCCGTGTGTTGTTCCGTGATTACGGCCGTGGTGACCTCGCCCAAGTGCGATTCAAGAAGGGTCGATACATGGCCGAGAATTTCTACATTCGAGGTGACGGCACACGCGTTTACTTCTTCGAGCAGGATCAACTCGTTGACATGTGGGGTACCTGGAGCGCAGAGAACGGCTTGCAGATTCCCATTGGCGATGAGGAGCCCACTGAAGAAGCGTCCGAGAAAAAGACAGATGAGCCATCTGCAGAGGCCAAACAACTGGCAAAGGACAACGGAGCGTTTGATGTCCTTAACATGGGAGCTGACCGGCGGTTGATTGTCAACCGTGGCACCAAACAAAAGATGTACCGTTGCTGGATGCAGGGCAACTTCCTGAAGCGCGGTGGAGCTCAGACCGAGGCTAACGATGCAGTTGTCGCCGAGAGCACCCAGTAAACTTCTGAATCACCAGGTCTGCGATAGTCATTTCGGATGGCCGTAAACCTTCACCAAAGTCTCAGCCAAAGACAGGAAATCTTTTGTCTACCAGCAAGTACGGTTGTGACAGCTTTCCCACCGTCCATCTGTGATCTCGCGGTTTTCGCCATGGCCCAACATCGTGTTTTCAGGTGTATCTCAAATACTCAGCACGCCGAGATCAACATCCGTGCTGCTGGGGTATTTCTAGTGGGAAAAGCCGAGGCAGCATCCTCAACGCCACGAGGGAATGGCTTGGGTTGCTGTTAATATAGGGCAATGCCTTCATGATGGCGTTATGAATGTACGACACACACATTAGACCATGTCATTTAATTTGCAAATACAGTCAAGCAACAATGCCTGCCACATAGAGAGCCATCGCAATATGCTGATGTAGAAGGTCAACTCCACCTAGCCATATAAACCACACGCCGAAATGATGCCGCATAATGCGTTTTAACATGTAGAATTTGGATTGCCAACGTTGGAACTAGCTAAGTATTGATGACAGAGCCGAGGGCAGGTAATAATTTAAGTAAGGGAAACTCTGAATATGTAGAAATCAAAGTCTTTATTTGTTCTAGCTTAATATCGACAAAGGCAGTCTACAAGATGTAGAATTCCTAAGCACAGCAAGTGTCTCAAAATTACATGCAGAATAACCAAAATCTTTATGCGCACCCTGTATCTAGACAGATAGAATGGCGCTAATATGAGAAAAAAGAGAGGCACCGCAGTTATGTACAAGCCAATGCTCTAAGAATCGAAGAAGAAAATCAAGACGAACTCCATATATGCAGGCAAAATGGGCATCAACGGTGACAAATCTCCCCTAGAAAGAGAAGATTTCATTGCGAGGAAGCATAGCAAGTCGTGACCTGCAGCAAGCTGCGAGCCTAAACGTCTAATCGCTGTATGTTGAAAAGCGAAATCATGTAGTCTATGAGATTTGTTCATGAGCAAAAAGCAAAGAGCAATCAACAATGCAAAGATGTTCGTAGGATGTTTTCACAGCGTCATATTCGGACACTCGCCCTGGGCTCGTTGGAAGGCTCCTGCGAACAAGTCCTGCATGGCGTGGTAATGGAAAAGGATACCGCCCAGAACAGCCAGATGCCAGATATTGTGACTGCCACCGACGTAATCAAAAAGACCTGGCTTCCAGCGCTCAGGAACCTTGGATGCGTAGACGCAGGCACCGACAAAATAGACCATGACGCTCTTC